CCATGCTGGCCCCCAGGATGGGCTGACCACTGGCGCCTCAGGGTTCTGGCCGAACACCATGTGGTGTGGGCTTCTTCCCAAACTCTGGGGCCTCAGATGTTTTCCTTTCTGTAAACAGGTATTGAGCCCCAGAAGAGGGCAGTGACCTGTTTAAGATAGTCTTCATAAGACATAACAAAGAGGTAAAGCGGGGGCGTGCTTATATCTGAGTGCCCCAACAGAGGAGGCTCCCCAGCTGTGACGGCAAAGGAGAGCTATGGGACCAGCTTGGAAAAATTAGGGAGGCTGAAGGAATCCCACATGTTTGGGGACTGCTTTCAAACCCCTAAACACCTGTGTGTGTCCTGCAGTCTACCTTTAATAACGAGAGTCGAAAGAACACCTGGCTGGGCAACTTGAAAAGAAATACCTGGGCCTGGGGCTGTAATCCAGACCAAGACACTCCCACTCTCCAACACCTGGACACTGCCAGTTCCTAAACACCCCACCCCTGCGATTCTGACACCAGCACAGCAGCTACTGGCCACATGGGGCTGTGACACTGAAAAGGAGGTGAGTCGAGATTGAGAAGGGTATGAATGTCTGATATACACCGGATTCCAAAGATTTAGTAAGAGAAAAATAATGTAAAATATCCCATGCACAATGTTCACAGTGATGACATGCTGAACGCATTCTATTTTGGATATGCTGGCTTAAATAAAATATGCAGTTTTAGTGAACTCCACCTGTTACTTCTCTAGTGGCTACTAGACAATCTAAAATTACACACATGGCTCATCTCCTGTTCCTATCGGGCAGCTGGTCTCCTGTGTGGTGGGGCTGAGAGTCCTGAGTGGTCAATAATTGTTAATCTTTACAGGATCTCGGTTCCACAGAGACTGCTGAGGGGATGTGTAGCTGACCTGGAAAACTGGACCTATGAACCCTTCTACACTGCTACCCTCGACAGTATCTGTCCCATGAAACTCCTCACCCCAGGTACTTTGCTGTCTGCAATTAATGCCCACCTACTGGGCTTGGCTCATTCAGCAGTGGCGAGAGGCCTGCACCATAACAGAAAGGTTTCTCTCATCCTAACCTGAGAGGAAGACTCTAGGCCTGATCTCCATATCCTGCAGGGAAAACTGAGAAGCAAAGGGGCTTATAGATTTTTAAAAGGCAGGACTCGCCACTAGCATTTCCAAAACTCTTTCTGCTGGGTCCTCCTCCACTGCATGCTTAGAAGATAGCTTTCTTTTCTAGAGGAACTTCTGAGATCGTTCTCAGATTTTAAAACTGTTTTTGGTGGAGGAGGGAAGAGAGACTGCTACCTGATCATCTGCTGAGCATTAACTATGCGCTAGGCTCTGGGGTACACATTTTACTTACAGCATGTACTGGTTCCCTGTGGCTGCTGTAACAAATCGCAGCAAACTTAGTGGCTTAGAACAACGCAAATTTATCTTCTCACAAACTCTGGGGGTCAGAAGTCTGAAATGGGACTCACAGGGATAAAAGCAGGCATCAGAAAGGCTGTGTTTCCTTCCGGAGGTTCCAGGGGAGGCCCCACTTCCTTGCCTTCTCCAGGGGTGGAGGACAACCATACCCTTGGTTAGTGGCTCCTCCCTCCATCTTTAAAGCCAGTAGTGGCTGGCGGAGTCTTTCTCACCTTGCATCACTGTCTCCTGCCTCCCTCGTCCACATGTAAAAACTCTTGTGATTACACTGGGCCTACCTGGTAACCCAGGACAATCGCCCCATCTCAAGGTCAGCTGATGAGCAACCTTAATTCCCCTTGCCAAGTAACGTAACAATTCACAAGTTCTGGGAAGCAGGACATGGACATCTTTGAAGGGCCATTCCTCAGCCTACCACACAGCATCTCTCTTATGCCCTATACGGTAGATGACATGATCACTATTTTTACAAATGAGGTCATATACCTAGGAGTTAAGTAACTTGTCCAGGGACACAGGCTAGAACTCAGGTTTACCTGCCTACAGTGCTTTCCATAATTCACACCGGCTTTTTAATAGTACAGGAAACTTTCAGGTTCAGAATACTGATATACCGTATTCTGTATTCAGAATACAACAGGAACAACAAATCAATAAAATCTTGCAACCTCTGTTTTGAAAAGGAGTTTTATCACCAAAGGGATGGACGTCGTGGGGAAGAAAAGCATACACTGGTTTTCTGGACACTCCTCCTGCGATTACACACATTTACACCACACAACAACCACAAGCACCACCGACCAGAAGGAAGATGACTGCCTCTCTTGCTAACCCCAGAGACAGTTGCAAACAGGGTGTGTCCTGTCAAGAAAGCAAGTAGGAGAGCAATTTTCTTCCTCCTGAGCCAGGAGCCCAGGACAGGAAAGACTGGCAGGCTACTGAAGACTCAAATTCTAAGCCAGCCTTGCCTCTGCAAAGCACACGGCACGATGGTAATGTCAAGACAGGTGGTGCATTCGAAGCAGAAGCTGGGTCCCTGGCCTGGATGGGTTATTTTCTTTCCCAGAGACACAGAAGCAACAACTCAGATCTCCAGGTCTTTTTCATCACGGGGCCTGGCAGGCAGCTCACTAGATATTTCTGGGAACCATCTATTTAAATATTAACCACCTACAAAACCTCATTCTTACATTCCTCAGTAAGTCACTGTGAAGATAAGCAAACCCACACACTGAACCCAAACCCCTATGAGATTCACCCACTACGAAGTGGTTCATTGTAAGTGACCCTCTCAACCCCTGAGAAAGACCCAAGGAGTAAAACAAAACAATCCACTTTCTTGTGTTCCACACCAACCACCTGAAATACGTGGTCCTATAAGCAGAGATTCTCTCTGACATTCAGGAAGGTTGCCCTCGACTTCTTAACATTTAAGAGTAAGATCAATGAACCTGGCCGTTTAAATTTCATCCCTTCTACGTAACAATCAGACCCCTTTATCTATACCTCCTCAAAAGCACTGGAAAAATCTAAAAACTAGTGAATGGACAAAGTTTCTGACAACACCTAGACTCTCTCTGCCAGTTAAGGCTTTCCCCCACCCTGCTGCAAGTTCCTGGCACAATTAATTAGGTATTAATGACTGGAAATGCCACATTTGTTTTTATGACAGTCCATCCGGGCTGAACCAGATGACAGTGATCACAAGGATAAACTGATGATTCGCAGCGGGTTTGCTCCACCACTGGCATTCCTTAAAGTCTTGGTGTCCAGAGATCTCATTATCGTTTCACTGTCAATCCCAAGCACAAAGGTTAAAAGGTCTCCCGGCTGTTGTAGACTGCATGTGCTAACTCGATTTGAAAGCAACCGCAGAAGTCATCTCTCTGCAAGGACAAGTGGGAAAGGAACTTGCCAACGGCAGCCACAAATGCAGATGTCACCAACCTGCTTCAGACGGGGCGGAAGGGGTCCTCTAGCTTCCTTTATTTCTAGAGTAAAATTTTTCAGCCGTTTCAGCCTTGGTTGACTTATTCTGGCAAATAAACAGGTACACACACACCCACCCGCGCCCAGCCCCCAGGCCTAAGAACACCTCCGAATTTGTAAAATAAAAAAGGAAGAGGAAACCAGAAACCCAGCAATGTCTCCATCGTGCGTCCCTGGCACAAACACATGGACAAATGCACGCCCGCGCCATTATTTAATTTCTAAAACCACCTTCCCTGCTCGGCATCCTCTGGTGGAGATGCAGGCGCGTGGGAAGCACAGGAAGGGAGCCCCAGGAAGTTTCTGTCTGCCAGGCGCGGCGTTTAATGAGGGGGTGTGAGCCTACTTAGACGTGGGCCCGCGCTGGGGCAAACAAGTCTGGCGACATACGTGAAACTTTTCACCCAGCAGATCAGAAGACAGCGCGCGGCCCTGGGAAACAGCGCCCGGGAGAAGGAAGCAGGGAGTTTCCTTGAAGGAAATGCACTGCCCGTCCGAGCTGGGGACGTCAGGCTCCGGGGGTGGCACGTGCTGGCGCGAGTCAGCGGGGGGCGCACGGCCGGGCGACAAACCCAGAGGGCCCGCACCGCCCGGGTGCACCTGGG